CCAACCACTTTAATTTATTTTGTTTTAATTATTTTTTTTATCACTTTTTTTTTTTAAACAAAAAAAAAAAACCTATATTACAGTAATAAGAATCAAATGAGAATCACAATTTAAAATAATAGAAATGACAAAAAAAGGATAATGTTCAGATAATGAGAACAGGGGGAAATGCGCTTAAATGTCTTACAACTATCCTAATGCTCCTAAAATAGGCTGCCTTTTTAATGCAAAATATAATTTCTTCTTTCTTATATGGAAATAATAATACTACATTATTTCTTTTGGTTTTGGGGTTAGATGGGACTTTGTGAGCCTCTGTGTGTCCATCTCCACATCCCTGTCTCCTGCTCTCTGTTTCCCAGCGTGTGCGCCCCAGATGGGAGGCAGGAGCAGGTGGCATGTTCCAGGCTGGGCTTTTCTCTCTAATTAAGGCATCACAAGCTCCCACTACAGCCTCCGCTCAAACACCCCGGCCTGCTGCAGAGCCCGAAGGGAGGGAAAAAACAGCACAGGAGAGGGAAACTAGGGACTGAGGAGGGAATCCTGATGGATAAGGAGGGAAAACCAACACAGTTCAGTAGTACAGGGTGTTTTTTTGTTTTTTTTTGGTTGGGAGGTTGGCATGATGTCGCTATGAAATTAAAGGGAAAGGTCATCCAAAAATGAAAATCCTGTCATCGTTTACTCATCTTCAAGCTGTTCCAAACCTGAATGAGTTTCTTTATTCTGTAGAAGAAGATATTTTGAAGAATGTTGGTAGTTTTTTTTTTTTTTGTTTGTTCAAAATATCCTGTTTTGTGGAAGAAAGAAACGCAGACAGGTTTGAGACAACTTGTGGATGAGTAAATAAGGACAGAATGAACTATGCCTTTAATTAATATTCATTATATGTGCAAAACTGCAAACAAGCTAAAAGGCTATTAAAATGAGTAAAACATCCTAAAAGAAATGATGATGAGTGACAGCAGCAAAGAGAAACTCCTTCCATACAGTTTTGATTGGGGGAAAAAAGGTCATTTTCAAATGTCAACTACCCATATGTAAAGCTAAATTAAGAGCAAAATACAACAGACAAATATAAATAAACCACATACACTCTTAAAAATAAAGGTGCTTCATGATGCCATAGAAGAACCTTTTTGTCTAAATGGTTCCATAAAGAACCTTTAACATCTGAAGAACCTTTCTGTTTCACAAAAGCTTCTTTGTGGCGAAAGCAGGTTCTTCAGATTATAAGAAAGAGATGGTTCTTTAAAGAACCTTTGACTGAATGGTTCTTTGTGGAACCAAAAACGGTTCTTCTATGGCATCGCTTCGAGTGTAATGGTCATTTTCCGCCAGGACATTATCCAGTAATTTCACAGACAATGCAAAACAACTCCAAATACAAGTAAAACACCTTTAAAAACTCAATATGAATATAAAGTACACCGTGCCCTGTTTTTTTTTTTGTAACGGCTGATTTGACTGAGAATCTATTACATGTTTGTAAATCTGCACGCAGTGAATTCTCCACCGGCTTCTTACCATGACATTGTCGTTCATGTCTCTCATGTCTCTCATGTGGTAGAGGTCCATGCAGACTTCAGCGCGGCTGCTGGAAGCCACCCTGTCCCCTGAGTGTCCCGCCTGAGGAAGCTCAAAATATGTGCTGTCTGGCTCGCTGTAATAACACAGAGAAAAGGTACGTGAATTAGAAGCACGCCAAAGGTCAATTCTTCGTACTGTAATTCACAAAAACAAACTGCAGTTTATCCTGAAATTGTGCCAATTAATTGCTACTAATATCAACATAAACCGCATTATGTAAATGCACGCAAATGAACTCACAGGGTACTCCACAAGTTTTCAAAGGTTGTACCCTCATCAGCGGTGGACGACTGGGACATCTTGGATGTTGGACAATCCACCGCAGGGCAGATCACACTGAAAATCACATAACAAACAAGAGGAACATGCATAAAGCAAAAGCAACCTTTAAAACAGTGAAATGACCCGCTGCAGTTCAGTATGCGTTCTTTCAACTGCAAACCATCAACCATAAAGCATTTCTGCAATTCTTACGTTAAATAGATATTTCAATTTTAAGGGTTCCCTTTTTTACCTTTTTTTCCCCCCAGTGTACCACACGGACTTCTTTACATCTTGTATGTGCATTTTATTTATTTTTTGTTTTTTTTTACAGTTTTATAGTAAAAAAAAAAAAAACCATGAGGGTGAAATTAAGGGTGAATTATTTCTTTAAAAAATATTTTGAATCTATTTTTTTTTTATCAAACTGAGCAGAATACTCTAAAAAGAGATGAATGAAAATGACATTTGAAATTAATTAATTTATTTTTAATTGATTTATTTTTATTTATTATCCTCCAAAATCCTTCAAATGACATGTAATACCAACATAATGATTCTACATTTTAATCATAGTCGTTATTCATTAACGGACTTCAGCAATTTTATAATAGACACTAAATTGCTCTGTATTCATGCTTTGTAAAAAGGCTCTTTCTGAACTGCACCATTGTTTAAAGACTGAACACACACAGGATTCGATTTGAAAGTAATTTCCACCCTGCTGCCCAACGCATCTTCTGAAGTTTGAGTCCCCGCAGATTTTGAGGCTGGATGCACAGATTCAGAATAAAGATGCCAGGCTCGGCGTGTCCGAACCTGCCTGGCACTGCTCCACTGTGACAGCGCTGCAGACCACAAGCTTCCTCCATCATATTACTCACAGGAAGTGAGGGCTATACGAGTCTATCAAGAACAAGTCAACACAGAAAGTGAGTCTGCTGCGGCTGTGGATCATACTTTAAAACATCCGATAAAAAATTACACAATTTCATAAGTTCAGATGTGAAAGCAGGTTATGTCATTTAGTAGTAATGTATTAACATTGGTCAAGATTTTGCACTCAAATGATTTTATGTAATTTGAATGTAAGAAAAAAACATTACTTTTTTTTTTAAAGAAAAAGCAAGATAAATTACTCAGATATCCATATCTTAATATATTATTACGGAATAAAAAAAAAACATCAATACAATCGTGAATGATATTTAAAGATGCTACACCAAGCTTGTTTAATTTTACTCATACTTGTGCAATGGGATAAATTTGAAGAAAATAATAACCGCAGTACTGTTTTTTATCACACTGTTAGACTGTTTCCACACAGTCTGACGAATATATCCTGTAACATAGCATTTATATGTAATTACACATGAATGTAAATTAAGTAGGCTATATCTAAAATAATGCACTCACCTTATAAAAAAAAATAATAATAAAACTAGATAATTAAATGTTGGTAATATTTCTACCCCTGCGATTTTTTTAAATTCAATTCAATTCCTATATGGGCTTGACTAAAAAATACCCTGAACATTCACCACGTTTTTGTCCAGGAAAATATATTGTAAAGAAAGTAAGCTTAGTCCATTAAACACATTTTGATCTTAATCATGCCACCAACAAAAATGAACTTGGCGTAAAGCAGTTTTACGATCATGGATAGCCTACTTCAGCCACATCTCAATAGGACAACAATTGTGAAGCGGCAAAAATGTAAAAGATAACTTAATCAGTTATATACATTTATAACATATATATACACGTAACATTTATAATAATAGGCTACTCTTTTCTTGAGAAAACTGTTCAGCCTTTCGGTTAACAGCTGCCGTCTCGGAATAGCGGTATATCTTCACTTGTTTACAAAAAAATAAGATGCTATTATAACTGTAATTTAGAGAAAATAATTAACAAAAATAAAAATAGTTTAAAATCAACATTCTGCTAGTAAATGCACACAATTATTTTACTTAAAACAGAGGTTAAGAATAATTCATTCGCCATGACAACTATAGCCCGGTCTCCCCTTAATTTAAAATGAAATAGATGGGTCTTAATTTGCTCATTTAAAACAAATAAATAAAAAAATAACAAATTAAAAATGAAAAGGAAAACGTTTTCTCCTATAAGTGCCTTCAGGCAGAACTCGAATTCTCTGTAGCGCAGCGCGCGTCGCGTCGCGTCTGTTCCCTCGGCAACACCGCGCGCACAACACCGTCCTCTGAAAGGTGCATTAGATCAATTATATTTCACGCAGACAAAACTGACTGAACATTTGAAAGGACTAATCTATGATCACATTTTTAACACACCTCCCAAAATCATATATTTTGCTCCTAAATGCTCCTTTAGCCCTATATCTTATTAGCCTATTCTAAAAAAAAAAAAAATATTTATCCACTTTCCGTAGCCTATTGGATGTAGGCCTAACGATAGCCTTTCAAAATTAAAATTGATTAGAAAGAAAGAAAAAAAAAGAAAGAAAGAAAGAAAGAAAAAGTCTCTAAATAAATCGTTTCAATCTGTGAATAGCTACAGAAGCTCAATTAACTGAATTCAGTGATAGGGCAGGGTTTCACTTAAACGGCAAGCCCGAGCTCTAGCGTCGTGTTTACTAACGTTGACCTGTATTCCCGAGGCGGCTGCCACCTTGAGAGGAGCTAAAGCTCTGGCAGCAATTATACACACACACAACAGGGATTCAAGCGGAGAATTGAATTATCATTTGACAAAGGCCTTGAATGAGCTGTATCTTACCGAAGCTCACGGCGAACAGCTCCAAAACTGATCAGCCATAGCTCACCGGTGAGTGCGTAATGGACGAAAAGTGCTCTGTTATTCCTCTGTAGCGCTTAACTTCAGACCGGGTTTCAATATATAGCCTATGCTAAAACAGAGGAGCCCCAAAAGATTGGGAAATTAAAAAAATATTAGCCTATTCATACAGAGTACAAACTCAGTAGGCTATTCAGCGCAGTACTAAACTAACACAGCACCCTTGACAACCAATCCGTCCCACACACACATCTATCTCCTGCACTCCACTGCTGCCATCAACACATATTCAATCGGATTTAAAAATAAATTTACAATAGCCTATACTATCATTTATAATATACGACGTTGTCGTTTTAATTTAGTTTATTATTTCTTTACTGTTAGCCTAATGTATGCTATAGCCAAAGGCATAATATTTAATAGGCTAGTCATGTAGGCTAACAGTAATATTAATATAACAATATATAATTTAATAGCCTATAACATAATCGAATAAAATATAATATAGCCTAATACATTAAAGAAATAGAAACAGATATCAAGTGGGCTAACGTTAGGCTGCAGCTTAATGAATTGTGTAGGCAACTTGTGAAAAGAAAACAGAAAAAAGCGCTCTCTTCAGAAGTCCATCTTTCTTATCAAGCATAGGTTTAGTCTACTGTAAGATACATGTTGACAGACAATTATCATAGTGAACTCTGACCACTGCATCACCTTTGTGGGACACTCATCGATTTTCCTACTGATAGACAAACACAAACTAACACATTAAATCGCTATGGTACACTTAGGCTACTGTTTTAGTTCAAAATAACTACATTACGAACTTGAAAAAATTAATCGATCAGTAGGGTGATTGGAAAATATTTTTTTTCTTCTTCTTCTTTTATTTTTTTTTTTGCATTATTAACGAATTTGAATACAACTAAGTTCCTTAACTAACACAAATCTAGTCTATAATAATACGCTATTGGCGTGAATGATTGAAGCGTGATGAGATCTTGCTGCGTTCACTTAAAGTGGGTGGGTTTAATGCTTACCTTCAGCAATGTGAGCGCTAGATATTATTCCCATAAACTGTCCTTTTTTACCGTGACAAATATTACATATAGTGAAGAGTTCAAACACACCGTAAACACTATGTTTATATTACATTTACTTACCAAACAAGTTATATTCCTGGCTTGCAACAACCTAATGCGATGTTGTCTGGATCCCAAACTCAGTTCCCTTGACCTGCAGCTGACCCTACAGCCTTGTCGTGTAGCAAACGAGCTGCGAATTAAGCCATCGAACAACAAAACGCACCCTGAATCTCTCCTTGTAGTTAAAGGCCGGATGCGAGAGAGGCAGATGAGGCAGATTATGCAGGTACAGCAGGGTAATAGGCTGGCGGGGTGTGAGAGCACTTGGCTGTGCAGGGGTGGGTTGGGAATCGTTGGGGGACGGGAGGAGGCGTTAGTTAGTTAGCCGCCGTCTGGGCGCACGCGAGCGGGAAACACTAATCCCAGCTCGATAAATGTGATTAAAGCTGGACATTTACATCCTCACTTTATTTGTTATATGCGTAAGGCGTGACAGTCTAATTCGACTGTAGAAAGACTATAGAACTGTCCCTAACAAAATCGTAGACATCGATTTGATTCACCTGCCTCTCCTGACAGCATAAACACGTTTTTGCATTTGCTTTGAAATGCATACGCGCGAATAATAAAGTCATAAAATTGAGAAAAGTCATAAAAGTACTCGGCCTGAGCTTAGTAAATATATTTATTGTAAAAGCATATATCCTACTGGAAAATAGACGACGAAACAACATTTCCCACAATTCCCTCGTGACGCCGACAATAAAGCGCGGCGCTGATTGGCCGTCAGCATGACACAAATGACGCTCTCGCATACGTCACTTCCGACACAGTAAGCGATTCGGTTAGAGACCGTTTGATTGAGACGGTCGATGCTTATCAGTGTCTTTTTGTTTTATCCTGCAAATGTCTTAATAATTGACCAAAAAACTCTTCGGACCAGTGCTTACGATACTCAAAAAGGTAACTTGTTATAACGCGTACAGCTAGTGTTCTGTTAAAGCAGACATTAGATTAGACGTGGAACCAGCTTTGTAACTTTAGTAACGTTAAGCGCACTGATACGGAGCCGTTAACGTTTCTCAAAGCCGGACGATAGACGATTTATGGATTATCTTTGTCGTTTCTAAAATCGTATAATTTTTTTTTAAAAGTAGTCGTAATATTTAGATTTAACACACGATTTATCGACCAGCCTGCTACCTGGGTGAATCTCACTTGTTATTAAGTATAGGCCATATCATCCCAAAATCAAAAAAATAGAAATAAGAAACTTATTTTGCATGGAACATTACTTACTATGAGCATTACTTAAGTATGTGTGCAAAGTGGTAATATTTGTAATACATTTAATGCTGATTTATAGCCTTTATTCTGGTTTATTGAGATTTAAACATCTCAGAATGGTCTACAGTAGTGTAAATCTGATGAGAATCATGCAAATAAACTTTAAGTAAAATGTCTTGAAATCTTAATGTTCCTTAAATGGGCTTTGTTTAACAAATGTATTTATTTTACTTTCTGAAAAATATATCTTTTGATTTTGTGGTGAAGTATTCTTTGAATAGGTTTCGACTGTCTTTGTGTCTCTGACACAACCTCTTTTTTTAGTATATTACTGTCAAAATTTCAAAGTATGCATCAACAAAAAAAATTTAATATTTTAAGATTTACTGTTGGTTCCATAGCATGAATTTCTCCGAGGTCTTCAAGCAGTCCAATCAATTGTGCAAAGTTTCTCCAGATGGGAAATATTTGGTAAGATGCTTTTCTTACAGCTATCAACATTTTCACATGACAAATCAGTTTATGGCTAGAATTGCATACTTCCAAACTGATCTTAATCTTTCTTATTAATTACCACATTTAATTTGGGCTTGTAGGCCACCTGTGTTCAGTACCGCCTGGTGGTCCGTGATTTCAACAGCCTTCAGATCGTGCACCTGTACACATGCCTGGACCCGGTGATGCACATGGAGTGGTCCTCTGACTCCCTCTTCATCCTT